CCAGAGGGCGCTGCAGAAGCCTCTGATAAACTGATAAAGCTCTGACTGACTCCTCACACATGCACATCTCACCTCTGCGGTCATCCAGGACTCATAGAACCATAGTTACATGTGTCGATATAATCCAGAAGTTTCAGCTCCTGGAGCGTTTAGAAACACGGAGCTCTGTCCATCTGAATCCTCGTCCCTGTGACTGCTGCGCTTTTCTAATGTTTTAAAATGAAGTTTTAATATGAAATTCTCAAACAAACCGGAGCAAAGTCCTGGAGATTTAACCACAGGTTTAATAAAAGCACAGATCCTGAAGCTCCAACTGTGACTTCAGGTCATGTCTGTAACATTCTGTCTCATTTATTCACACTTACTGAATATTTCAGAGCCAAACAAGTGTATGTTTTATTATTTTATGAAGTACTACAAAATTAATGTAAATATTGTCACTTTGGCCTTTTCCATTCTCAGCAGTGACATTTTAAAATCATCACATTTGTTTTCACCGCAGCAGAAACTGAAAAACAGTTTGATCACAGGAGGGAGAGTAAAGTGTGAGCGCCCTCTGCCGGTCAAACTCAACACTACACAGAGTAAAGTGTGAGCGCCCTCTGCCGGTCAAACTCAACACTACACAGAGTAAAGTGTGAGCGCCCTCTGCCGGTCAAACTCAACACTACACAGAGTAAAGTGTGAGCGCCCTCTGCTGGTCAAACTCAACACTACACAGAGTAAAGTGTGAGCGCCCTCTGCCGGTCAAACTCAACACTACACAGAGTAAAGTGTGAGCGCCCTCTGCCGGTCAAACTCAACACTACACAGAGTAAAGTGTGAGCGCCCTCTGCCGGTCAAACTCAACACTACACAGAGTAAAGTGTGAGCGCCCTCTGCTGGTCAAACTCAACACTACACAGAGTAAAGTGTGAGCGAACTCTGCCGGTCACGTTCAACACTACACAGAGTCTAAAGCTCCGTGTGGAGGATGGAGTCTGGTCACGCTGGGGCTGCGGTGTAAACACATGCAGAGGCACACACACATGTACACACACACACACGCAGAAGCACACACACACGCAGAAGCACACACACACACACACACACACACATGCACACACACATGCACACACACACGCACACACACACACACGCAGAGGCACATGCACACTGCACGAGGGCACAGAGCGGCACAGAGATGCGGTTGCTATAGCAGCGGGTGGCGTTACCATGGTTACCTGGAGCATCAGCGTGGGTCTGGGCCGACAGGGGCACCTGCGGTACCCCGGCAGGAGCAGAGTCTGACACAGGACAGGACAGGTGAACCCCGTTAAGATTTAAAACAACACGATTTCAGCACTGAAGCCCCAACGCAAACGAGAGTCATGTGACGCTCACTCTGCTCTCTGATTGGATAATCGTCTTGAACCAAAACACCAGATTATAACAAACAACATTTTCATCAGTGTTTCATCTGGAAACACTAAGTTAATGTTAGAATAGTGAGTAAAGCTCAATTTGATTTGAACAATCAATCAATAAAAAATCTGTCTCTTGCTCCTCGTCTGAGTGTATGAAATCATCACAATCTAGACACATATTTCCAAACTAATTACACCTTAGTTTCTATTGAAATATTTAAAAGGTAAAATTCCAAAAGTTGAACCTGATCATTTCTGACTAGACCCAAGACGTCACTGTACAGACAACGACCGGAAGTGTCCCGCTGTGGGTTTGTGGAACTTCTTGTTAATGTTTTTCTGTGTAAAATGTGTGTGTGTAAATGTGTGTGTGTTTGTCCAGTTTGTCCACTGGACAAAAGTGAGTTTGGTTGAAGACGTTTCTCAGCTCATCCAAGCTGCTTCTTCAGTTCTGGTCAGACGATGGTGGACACTTCCTTATGTCTGTCTGCAGGGAGGAGCTAACTACACTGAAACTCCTCTAAAACAAGTAGGTGTGTTAGTTTCAGAGTAGTTTCAGTGTAGTTAGCTCCTCCCTGCAGATATAAGAAGTGTCACCAGCGTCTGACCAGAACTGAAGAAGCAGCTTGGATAAGCTGAGGAACATCTTCAACCAAACTCACTTTTGTCCAGTCGACAAACTGAATTTTCTCCTCGCCATAAAATAATAACAATATTTGAAATAAATAATATCTGTAAATCTGTATAGTCGATCTGTGCGCAGCGGACAGCTCTAATACAGATTTGAAATGATCTCGCGCGCCAAAAATAAATATATCGTGGGCCAAATTTGATCTGCTATAGGCTCTAAATTCGGCTCTACATGTGACATTGGAAATAAGAGAAAATGAATCACAGATCCTTGGGGTTAGTGGTTAATCACACACACACACACACAGATTATGAATGAGTGAGCGGTGACCAGAGCTGTGTATAGTTTATATATTCACTGTTATTACTGTCGTTGTATTTATTCATGATTCTTTTATTGATAATTTTATTGCTCTCACCTTTGCTGAGCTGCACGGGCATGCTCTCAGACTTGAGCATGCGGTAGTGCTGGTTGGGGGCGTGGCCGTGGGCGGGCGGAGGGGCGGGGCCGGGTGCGGGGTCGGCCAGCGGGTGGGGGGGACGGCGGCGGCGGGCGGGCGCGTCCTGGTCGGGGAGGTGGGCGCGGACGCTTGGACCTCGGCGTTGATGGGCTGGAAGTTCCCCGACCCTCCAGACATGGCCGGACCCATGAGCTTCCGGCCGAAGCTGAGCAGACTGCTGGACACTTTGTTGATGTTCAGAGGAGCAGGTTTCACACTCGACCTGAAGAAACAGAAGAGACAATCAACATCATAAAGACAAACCACAAACAAGGACTTCTTTTTATATTTAAAGAAAACATACACCAACCCCGTCTGCTCATGTGTTTTGGAGGTTTTTTTTTGTTTAGTTTAGTTTAATTGTTTTTTTAGGCTTTTGTTTTTGTGTTTTCGCTATATGTTTGAAGAAAATCCAATGTGCTTTTTCTTTTAATGTTAAATGAACAGAAAAGAACCCCCCCACACACACACTGTTCTACACCAAAAAAAGCTTGGCCAAAATTGAAGATATAAACACTTAAATCTATCAGAAAATGCACTTCAAAAAGTAAAATCTAGGTAAAGCAAAACATCTTAAATTAAGAAAGATTTTGTTGTTTTATTTAAAGTGTAAAAAGTTGTTTTCCTTATTTTAAGTATAGCCAGATTTATTTTCATATTTTAAGTACAAAACCTCTTGTTCCATTGGCAGATCATTTTACTTTTCAAGTGAAATTTACTCAAATCATGATAAAACTTTCTTATTTCAAGTCATCTTAATTTAACTTTTTGCAGTGTGTCCATGCAGCAAGATGACAATTTCTTTTAAAATAAACAACCTCTCTTCAAGAATTCATCAAATTCAAAATGAGGAAGTCGATAATAAATCTGGAAACCAGAGGAATAACCTGATATAAGTTTTAAAATCTTGGTCAGAGCAGAGAATTTTGCAGTGAACTTGCAAATTGTGAATTTAATTAGGACGTTAACAACGTTTCAGCTCTAGACCTTCATCAGGAAATGAGGGAAGAGCTCAGATGGCCGTCGTAAACAGGGTGTGGCAAACACCCAAGGGTGACACGTTATTAAATGAACAGTGTAATAAATGTATTTACATAAATAACACAAATGTAAATGCAGAGTTCACTCTCTTTTTCACTGAGAAAAATGTCCAAACTTTTCCATGACACAAACTGAATTTTGCATGAAATGTCAACTCTTTCCACTCACCTTCTGGTTTGGGATTATAGTTTTTGAACATTTAAAATCTTGTCAGTGCATTTATTGTCGTCTCTTTTAAACAAAAGGCTCAGACGTTCAGAAAGAATCAGAACAGATTCATGAGAACTGAACAGAACACTGGAGCTGCGTGAGAGACAGACTCAATTCCATGACTTTTCTAAAACCTTCATTGACTTTACAAAATTTCATGACTTTTCCAGGCCTGGAACATGACATTTTCAATTTCTATGACTTGTCCAGGATTTCCATGAACCGTGGGAACCCTGTAAATCATTGCTTCCCAAAGACTGGGTCGCGGCCCTCAGGTTGAGAGGTTTTTTTGAGTCGCTGTGTCATGATCTACATGTGGATCTGTGATGTACAGTTCTGTCCTCAGTAGCTCAGTGTTTCTCTGCTTATTCCTTTCACTTCTACATTTATGTGTAAACTGTGATTTTCTGTTCTCACAAAAATGAAAACAAAGCAGAAGCAGAAACAGAAACAGACTGAAGCTGCGTCTGATCTGCTGCTGCGTCTCCTCCTGCACCTGGACTGGACCCACCGATCTCACCAGAAATGTTCAAATGTTGAGATATGTTTTGTATCATTTCTAATCTTTTTGTAATTATTTTACTGACTATTTTGTTCCAGTGTTGCTGGTTCAATTGAATGTTGAAAAGAAAAAGAAATGTTCTACCGTTAACATGCGAACAGGCGACGTCTGGATCCTTTTATTGCTGCTTTTCATTGTTTAAAACTTGAGTTATACTAAAATGTTCAGAGACACGATCAGTCAGTCAACAATAAAATATCCTCGTCAAATCAACATTTATTTTGTGATTTACGAATAACGTCTATGGACTTGGGTCATGAAGGTTTGGGACTTTTAAAATATGGGTCCTCAGAAAAAAAGTTTGGTAAACAGTGCTGTAAATCATTGTATTCATAATAATAATAATATTAGGGGTGTCAAATTATCGCGTTAATTGCGATTAATTAATTACAGTCATATTTAGTGCTTTATGTTTTTTAATCGCGTTAATCTCATTTTTAATCTCTAAATTTACTGTTTCTGTACGCGAGTTGCCTTATTATAAAATCTGTTTTTATGTGTTGTCGGGACAACAACACATCGCTCCCGCAAAGAATTGTAATTTTCATTCTCGTTCTCACCCGAATTTCAGTTTCCAATTTTTAATCTCAATTTTTTTAATGGCTTGACAGCACTAAATAATAATAATAAAAACAGCCTTGGGTGCTTGTCAGTTTCAGAGGAGACGTCTTGTGCATTTGAGAAACAGGTGATAAAGACCGTCTCAAGTTTGGACGGTGTTGGTGGTTTTTTTCACGCTCCGGTGGACTTCCAGAACCTTCTGAGTTGTGACAGAGTGAGGCAGAGTGTGTGTGCGTCCGGCCGCTGCTTTACCGTGTTTTGCTCATGAGATCGGCTCCTCTCGTGTTGTAATAGTCCAGGTTCTGTTGGAACTGGTAGTTGACGGGTCGAGGGTGATTCTGCGGAACACACACGCACAAACACAGGTTACGTAACACAAACACAGAGTAAACAGCTGCGTTCCGGTCGACCTGAGTCACCCCCCGCTCCTCCCGCTCTGCCCACACCTCTGCAGAGCGGCAGAGTGGGGAGCTTCAGTTTTGGATCACGGGTCAGAAATCGTTTAAATCACAGAACCGTTTCAGCCTGAGGTGAAACGGACCAAACCCAGACTGACCGAGTGACTAATTAAAGATATTTTTCTTTCAGACAGAATAAATAATGAGCATTTGTCCATTTTAGCTGATTTTTTTTTTCTTTTAAAAGGCCCATACTTCGCTCTTTTCTCATCTATATGTTCTAATGTCGTTTCCTCATCACAAACTGAACAGGAGTTTTGTTTTGTTTCATTCACACATGTTTGACACACAAACCCTGAATATTTAGGCTGGGAAAACCCTCCATTCCACCTTGTGATGTCATGTGGTAATACAGGAAGAGCTCTATTGACTTTTAAAACATCATTCACCTTCACTAGAATCATTTGCGTTATTATTTCAGCCCTGGAATTGCCAAAATCTACTGAACTTAAGGTAAAAAGAGCTGTTACATGACATCACAAGGTGGAACTGAGCGTTTTGAGCTTGTGGAGATGTAAACAGACTCATAATAAAGAGTCACTCAAACATGTGAATGAAACAAAACACAACTCCAGGTGTGTTTGTGTTACCTTACAGCTAACCGTGAGAAATAAATAAGAGAACAACATTAAAACTCTATGACAGATGCCCCCACTCTTTAATACATCACATTTATTTAGTTTTAACAGTAGAGTAACAATAATCTTGTGTTATTACCGTATTTTTTGGACAATAAGTCAAACTTTTTTTCATGGTTTGGCCGTTTCCTGCGACTTATACTCAGTGTGAAAATTTTAATACATAAGTCACACCTGACAACCACAAGAGGGCGCTCTAGTCTTGAGTGTGAGTATCTGCTGCTCCTGTTCCTCCTGTACCACTGTCACTTGGTTCTACTGCGCATGTCTCCTGCAGAAAGAGCCTCTGTTCTGTCTGTATCATGTCAGTCGATCGCACCGTTACTTCTGCACCACTGAACAATTTAACATTTAAACTTTAAACTTATAAAGACAAAGACTGAGAAGATTGAACACAAATGCCCCAAAAACAAAATCAGATTCTGCAGATTACAAACGGCAAGTCGTGGAATCTGCAGCTGAAAACGGAAATCGAGCAGCAGAAAGAAAGTTTGGAGTGAGAAAGAAACTTGTGACAGCGGGAGGATGCACCATGAAACTTTCCTGAAGTCACTGGATGGATGGACAAAGTCTGGACTTCAGTGACACCGAAACCATCCTGTCGGGATTCAGAAAGACCCGAATAATTCTAACTGGAACTGATGCTGAGTCTGACGACAGCGACACAGAAGAGGAAGCGATGCTCCTGTTCATATGTGACGTTAAGAGTTCTCTGTTCTATTGGTATGTTTTTATAAAAAATACATTTCCCCCAAAGAGTGCAACTTATAGTCGGGTGCGATTTATATTTGTTTTTTTCTTCTTTATGATGCATTTTTTGGCTGGTGCGACTTATAGTCCAAAAAATAGGGTAGTTATGGATCAGTCTGGACGAAACATTAAAAGGCTCTGAAGCAATTTACACATTTAAAAAAATATATAAGACCAGTACAGATTAACTATAACCATCAATTATACGAAGAGTCTGTGTATTTATATATTAATAAGTATGAATACTAACGTGTACATGGATGTGTGTGTGTGTGTGTGTGTGTGTATAAACCAAAAGAAATAAGTCAGTATTCTTTCCTACACTTATAACAGATGAGCTTTGTTTTTTGTTTTCTGTAAATAGTTGTGCATCTTGTCTCCTGTTCTATAAGTTAATAGAGTTCAACAAAATAAGTGTTAAAACTTCAGCCTAAACCCTTCGGTCTGCAGAATAACTTTAGTGATATGTATCATTTCTGTTAAATCGTGGTAATATGCTTCATGATTGAGGAAAATAAACTGGACAGTTCACACATGAGACTCCATTCTGTCCTGTTTTTTCTGTCGTTCTGCGCTGAGAAGGAAGTGGGGTCTCGGGGGTCTCTTACTTTGGGGTCTCTGAGGAACAGGGCCTTCTGCAGCAGAGCGTTGATGTCTCCGATGGGGGGGTAGTGCATGAGGAGGCCCAGGCACGTCTGGAAGTTACTGGCAATCACTGAAAAAACACACACAAACGAGAGAAAGAGCTCAGAGCAGAGTTCAGACTGTACAGTTGTGGTTAAACGCCTCATTTTACGCTGTTTTCTGATCCTGGACTTGTGTTTTGTTTCATTCACATGTTTAAAACACAAACCCTGCACATTTAGCACCAGTTCTTCTCTCAAACTGAAAACTCCTTCACTAGAATCACCTGGATGATTTCAGACCACTGCCAGTCTCTACTGAACAAAAAGAAAAAGGAGCTGTTCACCTGAAAACTACAACTTCATGACATCACAAGGTGCAACAGAGCATCACTTACTACTTGACTTTCACGCCATCTGGTGGTGAAACATCTACAGGACAAACTCTTATAAAGTTCTGCCCGACTCTAATTAACTGCACACTCAGTAATCAGCGCTCGACAACAGCCACGTTTTAAAGATCTCCAGTAAGACTGTAAGAAATTAGGTAAAAGATGATTAAAAAAAAAAACCAAAAAAACAGGTAAAATATTGTCAGAAATTAGGCAAAAGATGATTAAAAAAAAATTAGGTAAAAGATGATTAAAAAAAATTAAGTACAAGATGATAAGAAATCAGGTCAAATATTGTAGGAAATTAGGTAAGAGATAATTAAAAAAAAAAAAAAAAAAAAAAGGTACAAGTTGATAAGAAATTAGGCAAAAGACTAAGAAATTAGGTAAAAGATGATTTTAAAAATTTGATAAAAAAGAAATTACTTAAAAGAACCATAAAAAATTACGTAACAGTTAATAAAAAAAAGTACAAGAGGATAAGAAATTAGGTAAAATATTGTAGGAAATAAGGTAAGAGATTATTTTTTAAAAAAAAATAGGTACAAATTGATAAGAAATTAGGCAAAATACTAAAAAATTTGGTAAAAGATGATTAAAAAACTTAGATAAAAGATGATAAGAAATTAGGTAAAAGAACATAAAAAATATAAGGAATTATGTTAAATTTAATAAAACATTGGTAAAGGATGATAAAAAAAAAAAAATGGAAAAAGATAAGAAATTAGGTAAAATATCATTAAAAAAAAAATAGGTAAAAGATGATGAATCAGATTCTGCAGATTACAAACTGCAAGTCGTGAAATCTGCAGCTGAAAATGGAAATCGAGCAGCAGAAAGAAAGTTTGGAAACTTGTGACAGCGGGAGGATGCACCATCAAACTTTCCTGAAGTCACTGGATGGATGGACAAAGTCTGGACTTCAGTGACACTGAAACCATCCTGTCGAGATTCAGAAAGACCCGAATAATTCTAACTGGAACTGATGCTGAGTCTGACGACAGCGACACAGAAGAGTTTGCGTCGCTCTGTTTACCTCCGGAGGTCGAGGTTGAGTTGTTCAGAAGTGACACCGAGGATGAAGAATTGAAGTGATTTAGTGATTTGGAGTGAGATGGAGAGTTTGGTTAAACTTGTTCTGTTGTTTATAGTTTATCTGAAGAACTGTTCATATGTGACGTTAACAGTCTGTTGTTCTCTCTTCTATTGTTTTTACTACAACTTGACTTTACACAGGAAATGTCGGCTCCTGCTCTCTCATTTTACCCCAAAAAGTGCGACTTGTATATATTTTATTCTTCTTCATTACGCATTTTTTGGCTGGTGCGACTTATACTCCGAAACATACGGTACTGAGTTTGTGCCTAGAGTGATTCATAGAAGTTCATAAATCAGCCTCTACAGCTCAAATCTCGCATTGTAGTTCAGAAAGAAAAAGTGAAAAGAGTAAAAAATAAATAAATAAATTGACCCTTAAAAATGAATGTTGGATTTGTCATGTGTTGATTGTGACCAGTGTTGGGGAGTAACAGATTACATGTACCGGCGTCAAGTAATCAGAGTACAAATGATGAGTAACTGTATTCAGTTACAGTTACTGTTTCAGTGAGTGGGAATTGGATTACAGTTACTTTGTTGAAATAAATGGAATACATGGTGGTATTTTCCTGTTTTCACATTTTGGACTAAACTAGGACTAAAACCAGGACTAAAACCAGGACTAAAACCAGGACTAAAACCAGGACTAAAACCAGGACTAAAACCAGGACTAAAGTAGGACTAAAACCAGGACTAAAACCAGGACTAAACCAGGACTAAACCAGGACTAAAACCAGGACTTAAACCAGGACTAAAACCAGGACTAAACCAGGACTAAAGTAGGACTAAAACCAGGACTAAAACCAGGACTAAAGGACTAAAACCAGGACTAAAACCAGGACTAAACCTAAAGTAGGACTAAAACCAGACTAAAACCAGGACTAAAAAACTAAAACAGGACTAAAACCAGGACTAAAGTAGGACTAAAACCAGACTAAAACCAGGACTAAACCAGGACTAAAGTAGGACTAAAACCAGGACTAAAGTAGGACTAAAACCAGAACTAAAACCAGGACTAAAACCAGGATTAAACCAGGACTAAACCAGAACTAAAACCAGCACTAAACCAGGACTAAACTAGGACTAAATTAATACAATATGACAGTAACAGTAGTGTGGACATAATTGTGATCTCATAATAATAATCTCATAAAAATAATTTCTCTATCAATAATATTTTTAATATGGTCAAATAAAGACTGAACAAACATGAATTTTCAGGATGTGGTTGTTACATTCATGTCAATATCCAGTAATCCAAAGTATTCAGATTACATTACTCACTTTAAGTAATTGAATGGATTACGTTACAAACTACATTTTGGTGTATGTAATCTGTAATCTGTAGAGGAATACATTTTAAAAGTAAACTTCCCAACACTGGCTGTGTTTGTGCTGGGTGGGGCTGGGTGTGGGTGTAGTTCGTGTTTCAGACAGTGGGGGGCGTACATGCGTCGCGGATGTACAGCAGCATGGCCACGAAGACATAGTCGACCAGGTCCAGAGTGATGCTGTCGGCGAACAGAGCGTCCCAAACCACGAGGAGATCCTGAAGAGGAAACTCCCGACCGAACAAGAGACGCACCCACCGACTGAGAGACGGACAGAGAGACAGAGAGGGAAGGGGGAGGAGAGAGGGAGAAAAAGAGACAGACACACAGGAAGTTAGTTCTGAATATTGTGAGGACAAATATGATGATATATGAGAAAACAAACAAAAAACTGAATCATAAGCCTGTCATGTAGAACAGGTTAATGTGAACATTTTCAGACCAGAATGATGAGCCACAGTTATACATATAAACTGTGGTTATATCATATAGTGGGGTTTTTCTTTTGTACTAGGGACGGGCATTCGATGAAATTTTCTTAATCGGTCGTCGGAAGAATTAACGATCGATTATCGATTAATCATTAAGGTTTTTATATTAAAATGATCATCATTATTATTACTATCTGCACTAATCTGCATAAATAAATTCAACTTTATGACATATAAACATAACGACTCTAGAGTCACATCAGCCCATTTTGACATTATAATGTGTTTAATTCAGTTTTGTTCAAATCTCACAGAAACAAAACTTAAAAACCGCATCACTAATTTACATAAACTAAGCAAAGATAAAACTCCAGCTCTTGTGTCGCTGATGTGGTTCAATTTCTGTTGGATTAAAAGACATGACTCAGGTGAATACAGGTCAGTGTGACCAGATTTGTGTTTGTCAAAACCAGGACAGCGTACGGGGGGAGGGGGGCGGGGCCTCGTCATCCACATTGAGCGACTCTCACCTGGAAAAACTTTTTCCCCACTGGACACAGAAACATATGTGCTGCTTTATACACTGTGCACATGGACTCACACTTGTCCCAACGCAACGGAAAGTGTGGAATTTCTTGTACAAATCATCGTTGCACTTCAGTACGTTGCAGGCTGCTCGCTCCTTCTGATGCAGAGACACATGTACACACCTGTTTGGTCACACTACACACAGCAACCTACATTCAGTTTGTCGATTAAAATTAACGTAATCGATGAAATTCTTAATGATCAATTATCGATTAATCGACTAATCATGCCCATCCCTATTTTGTACGTTAATAAATTCTTATTCCTAATATGGAATTCTGCCTCCAGATTCGCCCCTATAACTGCAGACCTCAGTGAGCTTCATTTGACTGGAGCTAAATGCTGTGGGTGACATCACACTCCCTAAGTCTGGTCTTTACAGATCTGAGGGGGTGTACAGTGTGTGACAGGTGCTGTGGCAGGTGCTGTGGCAGGCGCGGCGGCAGGTGCACACTCACATGCCGTAGATCTGGGGGGCGATCTCCAGCCTGTTCAGGTGCATGTGCAGCTCCACGTCGTGCTTCTTCACCAGCTGGTCCTGGATGCGGTTTACTTTGGTCACTATGGCGACGGACGGCCCCGAGTCCTGAGGCCGAGCGAACGGGATGCTCGTCAACATCTCCTCTTTGCCCTGAGAGAGAGAGAGACAGAGAGAGAGCACACAGGACAGACACAGGACAGACACAGGACAGACACAGGACAGACACAGACAGACACAGGACAGACACAGGACAGACACAGAACAGACACAGAACACAGACACAGGACAGGGGAGAGTTTGGGTCAGATCCACAGAGAAACAGAACACTGGTTTAAACGTTCAGTTCTGTGGAGACCGAGCTCTGACCTTCCGGACTTCTCTCTCGAAGCTGGAGAACCAGGGCTCTGCGGTCTCCATGAGCTGAGAGAACATGGCACTGTGGACAGAAGGACACAAGAGACACATGAGACACACGGACAAAGATGAAGAAGAAGATACCAACAGACTGTTGTGACGTATGGAGGTATAGTCTCTCTCTGTGTGTCTCTCTGTCTCTGTCTTTTTCTCAAAGACACAGAGAGTAAATCTGATATCTGTCGTGCTGTTGAATAAAATAAGATTTCACTCACTAGGCGTCGTGTTCGAGGTACTCTGGGTTTAACAAACACTTCATCTCCTCACTGTGGAAAAAACACAAACATAAACCATTATTTTAGGCACGAGTTGTGTCAATAATTGTGTCGACTCAATCTGGAAAACTTCAGTGACCAGTTTTGTGTTTGTGATAAGAATTAGGATAGATGTTTAAAGGAACTGTGTGTAAACTGTGTTCTTATTGTTTAAAATACAAAATGTACAATAATCACTGAGCCTGTGTCTCCAGAGCTTTAACCTGCAGAGGCTCCGTTCAGTCTGCAGCCTGAAGTGACTCAAATCTGATTTTTTCACCTCTATGTTCCTGTATCTGAACCGCACAGATCCGATTTTTTCAAATGTGACCCAGACCAGTTGGATATGTGCTCCTAAAACCCAAACATATCCGATCTTCTGACATGTGACTTCAGTCTGAACGTCCAGGTCACATTCACCCACCTACACGTCTGGCTCAGAGTCTCGTCAGTGGAGGGAAAGCGAGCTTAGTGAGTTTATTCATATTCAGTATTCAGGACAAATTGGAGGCGTCTTATCAGAGTCGGGCGGTTTTTGAAATGTCCGAGCGCGACTACAGACAGACCTGACTCCAGTGTGAATGAAAAATAAAGAGCCTGCGAGCCAAATACAAGGAGGATAAACTCAAACAAATGAAGCGGCTGTGGACGTGTAACCTGAACATTTTACCAACAACTGGACCGGATTCTGGGAGACAAGTCCAGAGTTTAGGTGACTAATTGCCAGATTTATTTGCCTATTGGATATTGACTATGTGGGACCCCTCAAAAATTATGTTTGTCCCACAGTCACCAACCTCGGGGTCACCTTAGACAGTGATTTTAAATCTGAAAAACAGATCAATGGCGTTTTAAAATCAAGTTTTTATCATTTGAGGCTCTTATCTAAAGTCAAACCTTTTTTATCTTTTGAACCTTTTGAACAAGTCATGCACGCTTTTATTTCATCATGCATGGACTACTGTAACGCACTTTACCAACTACAGTGACTCCAAAACTCTGCAGTTTCAACACTTTACCCCAGTCCTTTTACGTCTTTGCACTGGCTTCCTGTTCATTTTAGAATTGATTTTAAGATTTTTTGGTTTGTTTTTAAGGCTTTGAATGTTCTGGCCTCACGTTACGTCTCAGACCTCATCCAGATTTAGACCCCTGTGTGCTCTGAGGTCCGAGGTCCAGCTCCAGCTCTTGGTGCCCAAGAAGAGACTTAAAACCCAAAGGACAGGGCCTTCTCTGAGACCGGCCCCAAAGTCTGGAACACTCTGGAACGCTCTGCCCCTCCACGTTCGAATAGCCCCCACAGTGGAGAGTTTTAACACCCACTTTTACACATTTAACACTGCGTGAGTTGTGTGCTCCTCTGTCTTTTATTTATTTTTAATGGGTTCTATTAGTTTCATTTATTTATTGCTATTCTGTGATTTTGCTCTTATTTTATTTTACTGGTTTTATTATTTTAAGACTAGTGTGATTAGATCGGAGCGTTTATTTAATATTTTATTATGCATTTGTGCAGAACTTTGGAAACTGTGAAATGTGTGACAGAAATAAAGTGGATTGGATTGGACTTGTGTGTGACGTCATCGTGTCTCCAGTGCACATGCGGGACACTTTTGGTGAGTTTAAAGTTCACACCAGAGATCACACACAAGTCACATTTAATTGGAAATGTAAACAACCTCACAAAAAAAAAAATCTAATTTCACAAAAAAATCTGAATTGAGCATTTAAGCACTGCAGACTGAACGAAGCCAGAGACACGTCCTGCATTTGTCTCAGTCTCAGTTTATGTTCTGGTCTCATGCGAAGCTCTGAACCTCCAGAATTCCCTCCCTGAGCTGCAGAGGCTGCACTAGCACTGACTCAGGACCGGTGCAGGTGCTGGGGTTTACAGAAAGACCATGTCAGGTTTAAACACACTGGATTTCAGCTTTGAACCAGCAACTCAAACGAGAGAGTCACGTGAGGCTCATTCTGCTTCTGACTGAATAAACGTGTTAAACCAAAACACCAAAACAAATTAGAACATAAATAAACAGATCATTATGTGCCATGTTTTTGTGATTAAGAATAAATCAGCATTAGAACTGTCGTCATTAAAACTATATTTGATTTAAACGTGTTTATGTCAATCAAAATCTTAAACAGTGGGATTCTCTTAGAGCACATCAACACTCGAGGAGCTTCACACGTCTGGAAACTCTCAGCTGACAAACACAACAGGCCACTGAGCTTCAGGTTTAAACTACAGGCAACAAGATTCTTCTAGAAAACACAGGCACAGGGTTGGAGACAACAGAGCTTTTTCACAACAACCTGGAAGTGTTGCGCTGTAGGTTTGTGGAACTTTGGTTAATGTTTTTTTTGTGTCAAAATGTGTGTAAATGTAAACACACACATTTACACACACATTTACACAGAAAAAACATTAGCTGCAAGTTCCACAAACCTGCAGTGGGACACTTCACACCGATGTGAAAAAGTTCTATTATGTAAATGATTGTAGCCTTAGAGGTTGGATTATTGTGTCAACTCAAATTTTGTTTCACCAGGTGAGTGTGGACAGGTGGGGACAGGTGTGGACAGGTGAGTGTGGAGGGACAGGTGAGTGTGGGGGGACAGGTGAGTGTGGACAGGTGAGTGTGGGGGACAGGTGAGTGTGGACAGGTGAGGACAGGTGAGTGTGGACGGGACAGGTGAGTGTGGGGGACAGGTGAGTGTGGACAGGTGAGTGTGGACAGGTGAGTGTGGACAGGTGAGTGTGGAGGGACAGGTGAGTGTGGACAGGGTGTGTGAGGACAGGTGAGTGTGGACAGGTGAGTGTGTGGAGGGACAGGTGAGTGTGGACAGGTGAGTGTAGACAGGTGACAGTGTGGACAGGTGAGGACAGGTGAGTGTGGTCAGACCTGGGCGTGGCCGTCTCACTGGCGTGTTGAAACGCCTGATGGTCACAGTGCAGCACAAACACTATGGGAGCCAACAACTCGTGCATCCCCTGTACAAAGAAAGAGAAAAGAGAAGAGAGAAGAGAGAGAGAGAAGAGGAGAGAAGAGAGAGGAGAACAGAGAAGAGAAGAAGAGAGGAGAGAGAGGAGAGAAGAGGAGAGGAGAGGAGAGAAGAGATAACAAAGAGAAGAGAGAAGTGAAGAGAGAGAACAGAGAAGAGAAGAAGAGAGGAGAGAGGAGGAGAGCAGAGAGAGAGAAGCGAAGGGAGGAGAGAGGAGAGAGGGAGAGACAAGGATTAGTCAAATCTGCACAATTCTACATATAATTCAAGTCTATAATGTGGTTGTTTGTAGTTTAAAAAAAAAAAAAAAAGAAATAAAAGAAAATTGAGTATTTTGAAATTATATGTTTTTTTGTTTTTATGCTTTACAACACCTAAAATGCAAAACAGAAATACAAAAAATAAAAGGTAAAATGTATTTGTTTTTACCAATTACCTGCAAAGTGTCAGGAGAAGAAGAAAGAGAAGAAAGAAAGAGTGAGGGAGGAGAGAATGGGAGGAGGTGAGAAGACAGGAGAGAGGAAAGAGGAGAGAGAGGAGGAGAGAGGAGAAGAAAGAGGAGAGGAGAGATGAGGAGAGGGAAAGAGGAGAAAAGAGAGAGGAGGAAAAACGGAAAGAGGAGGAAAGTTGAGAGAGAAAAGGAATGCAGAGAGGACAAGAGAATGAAAAAAGAAGGAGAAAGAGGAGAGGGGAAAGATGAGATAAAGCAGAGGAAGAAGGGAGAAGACGAGAGACGAGAGAAAAGGAGAGGAAAGAGAAGAGAAGAGAGTTTGTGAGTGAGTGTGTCTTGACTCATGGCTCGTCTAATCTGAGCTGACACACAGTTTAACTGCACTTAGCCACACGTCACTTCCACTTAACGCCAAAGAGGTTCACTACATCTGTGTTTGTGGACATTTATTGAGCTCAGACTCTATTAAACCAGCGAGCGCACGCGCACACACACACACACACACACAAACTCACGGAAAAACAAAACTCATCACAAACAGTTTGCAGTGCTCCAAAGTTCTTCCTCACTTCCCTTCTGCAGTCAGAGCGTCCACATTATTCACCCTGATGAGTTTATAAAGAACTTTTCACAAATTTCAGAGACCAGAGCGGAGTTTTGCCGTCGCAACTAGCATGCCAACACACACTTCCAGATAACAAAGTGCTTATAACAGGTTCTAACCACGCTGAAGTCGCAAACCAGGAAGACGTTTGGAAACATGCAGTGAGATTTCTCCTCTGCCGTCAGTTATGTGTTTCCTAACCCAACTTAGACCAGAGAACAAACAGCCAAAGAAACGACAGGAAGCAGGAGGTTTTTATGTCCAAACACCATTTCTTATTCGTTTTTGTAAAAGATTATGTCTTGCCAAGGTTTTCCATAGAAGATTGCAAACACCTCCAGTACCGTTCTCAGTAACTCGCCTGCTGCTTACAGGTGGAGGCCGCGAGATGGCGCTTAAACGTACAAACTACATCACAGAAGAAGAATCCCAAAAAAGTAAAGTTACAATGACAATGTTGCCCTCTACTGGAAAAAACAGAGGATAACAATAGTAGGGATGGGCATGATTAGTCGATTAATCGATAATTGCTCATTAAGAATTTCATCGATTATGTTCATTTTTAATCGACAAACCGAATGTATGTTGCTGTGTGTCGTGACCAAACAGGTGTGTACATGTGTCTCTGCATCAGAAGGAGCGAGACACAAACAGTGGGTCAGTCTGCAACGTACCGAAGCACAAATGTGGATTTAACGATGATTTGTAGAAGAAATTCCACACTTTCCGTTGCGTTGGGACAAGTGTGAGTCCATGTGCACAGTGTATAAAGCAGCACATATGTTTCTGTGTCCAGTGGGAAAATGTTTTTCCAGGTGAGAGTCGCTCAATGTGGATGACGAGGCCCCGCCCCCCTCCCCCCGTACGCTGTCCTGGTTTTGACAAACACAAATATGGTCACACTGACCTGTATTCACCTGAGTCGTGCCGCATCTTCACTTAGTTTATGCAAATGAGTGATGTGGTTTTAAGTTTAGTTTCTGGGAGACTTGCACAAAGCTACATTAAACACATTATAATGTCAAACAGCTGATGTGGCTCTAGAGTCGTTACGGTTTATATGTCGTAAAGTTATTTATGCAGATTAGTAGTGCAGATAGTAATAATAATGATGACAATTTTAATATAAAAATGTTAACGATTAATCAATAATCGATCGTTAATTCTCCCGACGATCGATTAAGAAACTTTAATCGAATGCCCATCCCTAAACCAATAGTATTGCAGATAAACTTAAACCAACAGAAATGAACTTGTGGTGTAGTTCCTGACACTGGGCTCATCATCCAACTGTGATAAAACTACAGAACTATAATAAAATCATAATAAAACTGATCGAGGTGAAGCTGCAGATTAACGACAGTGACTCTACTTCCTGTGGACTTTATCTCCAATCTTTTATGTTTAAAAAATCCTGTATCTGTAGTTTTGCTCCACATTTCACAAATAATAATCACACAGTTTGGACTTGGATCTAAACTAGAAGTGCAGAGTCTGATCTTTGACACTTCAGAGTGACTGGAGCCACTGGAGACAGGAAACATCTGACTTGATCGCGCTCACACATTTATATCCTGTGGTGCGCAGACAGATCCCCCTGCAGTCTGTGAGATCGCAGATTTAAAATCTCATCAGATTCTCCTTGTGTTTGTGGTGTGCCCTTTTTTTGGCATGTTTATAAATCACTTAAGACTGAAAAATCCTGTAGTTTGTGACTCCTTTAAGTAGTTCTGCTCTGAGATCAGTGGTCTGTCAGTCACTGTGAGTCTAAGGTCTACGTTCAGACTGCAGGGCTTAACGCTCAATTCCGATTTTTTTGTGAAATCCGATGTTTTTGCGAGGTCGTTCACATTTCCAATTAAATGCGACTTGTATTCAATCCCCTGTGTGAACAGTAAACGGCCCGAAAGTGTCCCGCATGTGCACTGGAGACACGACGACGTCAACCGCAGCGAGCGTGCTCTGTGGACACGAGCATCGAGCACCTGGAGATTTTAAAGTTCCTCTCGTACCGGAGCCAGAACATGAACAACTTACTTGTTTTAAAGGAGGAGATTGAGAAGGAGAAGGACGAGGTTTTTGGTCGTGGTGTTTTGTGGTGAGTGGTGATGTGCTTCACTTCAGTCACACAGAGTTCATTAACAATTTTCTCCTACTTCAGCGCAGAATAGTGACGTTTGTGTCTTGTTGATAACGTGTAGGTGGATGAATGCACTTTGGCCGTTCACACTGAAGTCACATGTCAAAAGATCAGATATGTAAAGGTTTCAGGAGCACATATCCAAGTGTCCTGGGTCACATTAGAAAAAATCGGATCTGTGTGGTTCAGACTGTCATTAAAAGATCAGATACAGGAACATAGAGGCCAAAAAATGGGATTTGGGTCACTTTAGGCTGCAGTCTGAACGCAGCCTAACACGCTGAGCAGAGACACACTTCTGTGAGCGGTGGAACGATGGAATGATGGAGGTTTTTGGAGGTGGTGGAGGTTTTTGGAGGTGGTGGAGGTGGAGTGTGTTACCTGTTTATAAAGCAGCTGTTCGTTCTCTCGGGCGTAACAGAACAGGATGTCGGTCAGTTTGGTCCTCACGTCCTCGTCCTGGAAGTATCGGATCTCCGGGAACCTGCCCATCACAAACATTTAAAGCTGCACTGTGTAACTTTTCGGTCGGGGGTCTGTCACTGTCGCTGTCACTGCTTCGAATGTTCCACAGTGTGACTTTAAAAACAGGTTTACTCCACATTTATTCAATTACAGGTGGTTTTCAAAAATTTATTCATTAAAAAAAATACATAGAAAAACAGACATTCTAGAAAGATTTAATGCCACACTGCGAAACATTCCAAAGCACCAATAACCTCACCGTGGAGAAAAGCGTTTGACGGACGCTCCAACAGAAAAATTACACAATGCACCTGAACATGAGAGAGGGATGTGATTGGCCAAGGACAAAAAAGCAGGAAAATATAAAGAATTTTCACTATTGGAAAACAAAGAGAGAGAGAAGAGAAAGTTATTGCTGTGTTGGACAAAATTGTTAGACTGATTCATCACACGGTTTCACTTCGTAGAAACCGTGTGACCTCGCAGCATTAGGATTCGTTCGCTCGAATGTAGGCGGGGACTTTTTTTGTTTAACCAATCGCTGCTGTTTGGTCGTGATGTATGTAATGCGCCGCTAACGGGGGGTAACTGGTATATTAAGCTTTTCCCAAATCCCGTAGGAAGAAGAACAATGACGTCTTTCCTCTTGATGAAATTCAAACATTCTCTTTATTCTGGCTTTAAATCCTTGATCTGGGGAATCTTCTCTGATTGGCTGGTGCCCGAACTCGCACTTTCAGGGTTTTTGTGAATCGTCTAGTGTTTTCTGATTCCTGATCTAGTCTCTGGAGGAAATGAAACTGAGCGGAGACACTAGGTGGCACCAGCCTAGCTACAAAACTCCCAATCTTGTGACAAAACGCAATCTATTTCCGAGCCAGTTTAAGATATAATAAAGAAAATTATAAAACAATTATGACAATCCTTACATAACACGTAAAATCAGTTCGAGGTCAGTAAACACAAACAGAATACAAACATACAAGAGGAGATGAGGAGATACTCACGTTCTGAGCACGTCCTGCTTGATCATCCCCTTCAGCTCTTTGTCCTGGAAGAACTTGTTCCACAAGCTCTGGACACAAGAACACACAAGAACGTTCATGTTAGAGTTCTGAAGCTGAGCCCTTTGAGATGTTGTGTTTGTGGTGAAGCAGACTGACCCCTTCGTCCTGGGACAGAGGGTTGTTGACCACCAGGTCCTGCTGTCCAGCAGCTTTACGAGGGTTTGTGATGTGCTGAGGACAGAGACACAAACACACGTCAATGAGACTCGACAATGTCAGATTAAAGAACCACAGACTGAGGGAGTGTGACGTCACCCACAGTGTCCACCTCCAGTCAAATGAAGCTCATCAAGACTAGTACTGTAATGTCCAGACTAATGACTGCACCAGAATATAAGCCGCATCAACGACATTTTAAAAGAAAAAAAAAGTACAGTAAACAGGCCGCACGCATTTATAAATCACGGGTGTCCATGTTGTAACTTCAGATTTTTTTTTATTTTAATTAAATACGGTACATGTTTTTTCTGAACAGAGCCTGTAAAACGGCAGTAAAACGACAGGATTATCAGACTCTGACACTTGGCTCTGTTCTGTCTGTATCATGTCAGCGTCTTGGAGGATTTCAGCAGGTTTCAGACTCTCAGGGGGCGGGGATAGGTGTGTGGATCATGTCTGAGTGGATGTGCAGCTACTGAAGTTTGAGACGTTTCTTCTCGTCATTTACACACTCACCTGATTTAACACACACGGGTCATTAAGACGAATCACACTCACTAATGTTCATTTAACATCAGAACTTATTTTATCACACGAGATAAACTCTGCTCTCAGGCTGCGACGCATCTGCTGTGTTCATAAACAAATAATCCGTCCATATATTCGCCGCGTCATTGTTTAAGCCGCAGGGTTCAAAGTGTGAGAAAAAAATGACGGTAGTTTTTTGAGATGTAACGATAGCCAAGTCTAAGATATTGTCATGTTTGAACCTCACGATATGATATTTTTATTGTGATATCGTGGGAAAGCTCACGATTGGGGATGTAACAAAATCCAAATCTCTCTGTATGATATTTTCACGATATAAATCTCACGGTACGATATTTATTGTGATATTTTGTGGAGACTAAACAGATAAAACTGTTAAAATGCGACTTTTTCCTCTTAACACGCCTTGACAAGAGAAAATAAGTCTTAAACGTTAACTTAAAAGTTTTAGAACTTATCAAGCCTCAGGGTTTCAAAACTGCCGTCCATTCAAGTCAATGGGCCGAGCTCAGTGGCTCATGACTCCAGATTCGCCTTTAGTCAAGTGAGGTTCTTCCGGTGGCTGTGGGCCGACCGAGCATGTGCAGTAGTGTCTTTTCTGGCGCTGGCACACGGCAACACACGTGAGCGCACACACGGAGCGCGGGCTCGTGTATCACATGATCGCTTTGACCAATCAGAGTGAGAGGAGCAGAGCGGAGTCAGAGCGAACGATTATAAAGCGTTTTTTAAGACAACTTTAGGATTTTGAGCTGAGAGAAAAAGTTTATGATCTAAAAATAGGTAAAAATCACCAACAAATCCGATATTTTTGAAAGTTGTAGATCCCTGTCAGACAAACACGAGCAGTTTGTGATTCCACTGTGTTCTATGAGAAAAATCCTGTCTCAGGGGATTTTTTCCGCTGAAGTTCCCGTGAAGAGTCACTACGACAACTGGAGGCAGCTACAAGCAGCAACACCTCCAGGTATTTTACTAGATCCACGACTGTTATTTCTTCTTGTCGTCTGCACTGAAAGGGAGCAAAGGATCATGGTCTATGTAGTTCCTCTGTGTTTTTTTAGCTGTTGCTGCACCATAATTCTTCATTTAAACAAAGAGACTTGTAATTCGATATATTGTGACGGTCCACGATGTTATTGTAAGAACTTTGACGATACGATATCACCATATTTCAGTTATCGTTACATCTCTAGTGGTTATAGGAGGGGTTTGATATTAGTAAAAGGAAAACAGATTTACGGACAAAATTGTTAAATAAAAACCCAGGATCATGTGGAGTGGGTTAGTGCGAACAAGAGAGAAGAGCGACGTGAACTGGAGCCAGAGTGGATGGAGCCGGAAGTGCGCCCATGCTCACTTCCTGTTCGGGGTTAGCTGTGTCCGTTTAGATTTAGAGTCTATGGACAGAAGCACAGTCTGGATGAACAGATCTGAACAAAGTACCGTCTCTTTAATCTTCTCATACTGCGCCCGGAGCTCCTGGGTTTTGTTGATCCACTGATTCTTGTCCTCAGGAAGCGCCTCCAGATACAACTGGGAACACAACAACAACAACATGACAATAACACAACAACAACAACAAACAACAACACGACAACATGATGACAACAACAACAACAACAACAACAGGAACAAGAGGAGGAGGAGAGACGAAGAGAAACAAGTAAGGAGAAGGAGTAAAGAGAAAC